TGATATATTGATAATTGCTTATAAGAGGCTAAGCACACTGACATAATATTTAACATGGTTCGACAAATTGCCTACATCCACAGGAAAAGCTAATATTATTAGAGATAGATAGAGAAAGAGTTACAACACACATGGAGGAAGAGGATCACTTCACTTAAATTTTACTCCCATTATTTTTACACACATTACTGCACAGTGTAGCAGAGCTGTTGCCCTTGGCAGCCCCTCTTTCTTTTCTTTTCTCTTCTCTTCACTCTCACTCTCTCTCATTTTGCTCTTAAAGAATGCTTCTACTTATAGGCATCAATGATAAGACAACTTGACCATAAATTATGGCACTAATGATAACAATATATGAGTTGCATTATTTTTGTCAATGATTAGTGTAACTATCATCGTTAGGTTGCATAAGTTTTGTAGACTTTTAACAATAATAATTTTACTTTTAAGTTAAGTTGCATAAGTTGCTTACATGATTACTACATATTAATAACAACAATCTTAACATGTGTTTACATCTTGTTATAGGACACAACAAGGGCGATAATTATCATCATAACTAATATAGTGGATCATAGGATTAACCGGATGCGAGCTGGCAATGACGTCCCATACAGGAGCCGGGCCACATCGGTGGCCTTGGCATATGCATAGAATAAGGAGGTACAGGTGGTCTTCCATACATCGATGGTATAAGGAATTGACCTCCATTAAATGGCCTCATGTATCCAAATCCATTCATAACCACTTGGCTTCCATAAAATGGCATCGATGATCCAAATTCTTGAATAGCTAATTGGTTTCCATAAATTGGCTTATTTTATGACCCAAATTCATTCATAGGTGTCCTTCGAAACTGCCACTTATTGTCAATATGAGCTTTTCGAGCCAGAGATCTAGGCCTCTGCTTGTTTCCAAGAAGTTTTTTACCAAGCCAACTGCACCAGTTGCCCTTCTTGCTGTCTCCTGGGACGTCCTTACTAGAGTTATAATCCAGAAACCCGTTGGCAGGTGCGCTGCGATCTGAATCTCTCTTCCTATAATAATTTTTATTCAAAACAGTGTTATCCTCGTCGTCACTCTCCATGAATTCTTTTCGGGGGCATGGAAGTTCCGCCCTTTTGCCCCACCTAGTAAACTTCTCTAGAATTACCTATTTCTCTACGCCGCCCGAAAGCATTACCAAATCTTTTGCTGTGTCGATGGTAGTAGAATCCAACCCTGGCAAGTATTAGAGACAATTTTTAAAAAGGGAAATTTTGCAAACATATTTTTATGAATTACAGATAAAAAGCCATGCAACTGTAACAAAACAAAACAAAATATAAACTTTGATTTGCTGCAGCTGTTCCAGCTGGGTTCTCGATGGCCATTGTGAAAAGCAACTTATATGCACTTTCACTTTGAATATCAATGTTTATAATGATTTGAAACTAAGTGACAATAAAATGCTCAGGATAATTAGTTGATGCTCTCATTTCTTAGAATCTATTTGTTTTTATGTTTTAAATATATATAAAAATGTATAATTTTTTTTGCTTCAAATTATTTTTTTTGTTTTAAAATTGTTTTAAAGTGATGATGTCAAAAATAACATTTTAAAAATAAAAAAAATATAATTTTGATATATTTTCCAATAAAAAATATTTTAAAAAATAATTATTACCAAATATAATCTTAATTTATATGACTTTGTTTTAAAAATATGCTATTACTAGTGTTCTCACACTCTTCAATCATTTTTGCACCACCATTTCTTTTTTTATTTAGAGTGATGTATGGCAGCTTATGGTGATTGGATTGTTATTGATGGTCATTTAATTTTTTTTTTTCTCTTAACAGGTAATGTAGACTATTGTGTTATTTATTTTTTATTTTTCAATTTCAATCTTCATTCTATTAATTTTTTATTTCATTTATTTTTTTATTTATAGAAGTTTTTATTCTTTTTAATTTATTCCTTTGATTGCAATTTCTTATATGTTTGGTTTTTCATTTCAGTCTTTATTTTTTTAATTTTTAATTTTTTCTTTATCACTTTTGTTGAAGTTTTTTTTTCTTTCAATTTCACCATTCAATAATTTTTCTATTATTTTATTTTATTTTTAGTTTGACAGTCATTCTTTTGGTTTTTTTATTTTATTAAAGTTATTTTTCAATTCAATTAAACCCTCCAATTAAAAATTTTTATCTCTCAAATTAATATTTTTTCTCACCTTCTTTCTTTTCAGTCCTTTTGTGTAATTTTTTTTTCTTGTTTCATCTTTAACATTTAATTTATTAGAAGCTCAACTTCATATAATCTTATTATTCTACATTAGTTTTTTTTTAATATTGGTTTTGTAATTATTTTCAAGTTTTTTCTATAAGTTTATCTTGGTTTCATGACTTAGGTCATGATTTTTGCATGTCTTTTTTTTAATATAAGTTTTTTCTTAGTTTTTCCATTTCTATTTTATTTTTCAAGGCATTATTCTAATTTATCTATAATTTTTTTATACAAATGAAGTTTTTTTTTTAAATTGAAAATATTTGTTTTAAATTATATTGCTGATGTGTTCAGCCTTGTGTAATATTTTTTATGACATGGGTTTATCTAGTTAATTTCATTTGTGTTTATCTTTTAAGTCATGAGTTTTTTAGGGTGTTAATTTATCTTTTATTTATTTAAATAAATAAGTTCAATAAACACAATCGGATGCATGTCTTATTTTATGTTATGAAATATCTTGATCTTACTTGTATAGGCTTTTTAATTTATATGTTGAACTTTATATATAAAAAAAATCATTGAAGCAACCTACATGCCTAGTATTTTTTTTAAAAAAATTTATAACTTGCAATAAAATACAGGTTAAATAACTAATAAAATTATAAAAAGTGTGTACAAAACACTACCCACTTGCATTGTTTAACCTCTTATATTTTACTATGGATTTACTATTCAACTTTTTTTTAATAGTAAATCCATAGTAAAATATAAAAGTTGAGGGTTGATTCTCCACTCTTAGCTTTAGAGCTTTAGAGGACATAATATATATATATATATATATAGAGAGAGAGAGAGAGAGGAAGTATTATTAAATTAATCTAGTGTTGTACTCTCTAGATTAAACATTATATATTGCTGTATATGTATAAATAGAAAAAATTGAATAACTAATAAGTGAAGTTTCCAATTTCTCTTCAACTGGTAGTATTTATATTTCACATAAAATCATAAAATCAACCATAAAATCATGGTTTCACCTTATTTTAAGTGAATTTATTTAACAATTACTAATTACCGAGCATTTTTTATCTAATGATGGATTATCCATTTGTTTTAATTTAAGAGTGGTCTTATAGTTTTTCAGCATAGGTATCAAGATTTTTAAGTCAGGATCATAGATCTTTGAGACAATTTCCTAATTTTGAACAATGATATTGAGAAAGTGAGAGCAACTCTGCAGATCTGTATTAATAAATTCTCTTATGGGTGGACATTTCCCATCCCATTTGTCTCTACCAAAAGTAAATGATGTACAAAAGTTTTGAAGCAAATTAATTCCTGCTCTGTGTTATGATAAATTCAAGCCTGAAATGATGTCAATAAAGGTATCTTCTCGGCAAGGAAGTGTAAGACCGCCCATCGGATGATTATATCCGAATTCTTCTTCGGCTTTTCTTAGCAATTCTTGGAATGAAGGTTGATTCAAGTATGAAATTGGAACAATGAATCTTTTCTTTTGGCTCTCTCCAACATAGACAGCAAAGTAGCCTTTAGGAACTTCGGTTGCTTGGTTAACAAGCAAATTTGATCGACGGAGAATTTGCTTAGCAGTCATGATACCCTTAAGAAGGATGGCCATTGTGTGATCTGTATTATTCTGGTAGAAAAAGAAGATCTTAGAGTAATGTGGAGGAGGATTTGCTTTCTATGAGAGAATGTGAGGACTTGCTATGGTTGTGGGGAGATGTATTTATATATACAGATGGATTTAGTACGTGGAAAATCTATGAAGTGTGGATGAGAGGGGAAGCAGCCAAAGTGGGGTTTGCGTAGAGACATAAGCAGCTGAAGGATCACATGGTCCTGTCTTGCAACTCATCATCAAGAAATTATAGTGAATTAAGTCAGTATACTTTGGTAGTACACATTATGGCTAAGCAGTTCTTGGAGACAATCATAAAAGGGTGCCCCACTACAAATTCATAATTGCAGAAAGAGCATTTTTTCTGTGGAAGAAATTAGAATGCAGGACATGCTTCAGACATCTAGTTTGTTATTGTTGGTAATGATGTGAAGGGGTCTCCGTGACCAAATTTGTCTTGTTAGAAATTTCCATTGAGATGTGTGGTTGAAAACAGAAAGGTTTGCCTTGATAAATCTGCAACCTTCACCAGCATTTATTGCTTTAGCAAAAACTCATACATGGATAACCAGAAAAACAAAAGGAAAAAAATAAAAATAAAATCTTGGTAGACAAGGCCTTGTGAAGAGCATGTGAAGCCGGTGGCTATGCCCCTTCCTTTCAGAACCTAACCCACATTTAAGATATCTTGTTGGCGCTGCAGATGATTAAATTAATGCCGGTCATTGACAATAAATATAACTGTTTCAAATCATCAACTATCATAAAAAAAGAAAAAGAAAAAGAAAAAAAGAAAAAAGAAATGTGATTGCCACCAAGAGAGAAACTTTTTCCTGTATGTTGACAGAAAGCAACAATGCTAACCCCAGGAAGATTTATTTGGCCAAATATGTTGAGCCTTGTTGTGTATTCATTGTGGTACTGGCCATATCTATTTAAACATGAACTTCTGAACAGTATTAGAGAAAGACTGACCAAGGTTAAACAAACATAAATAAAAGAGGGCGTGAGAAGGGCAAGGCAGAGTATAAGCAATCAATGGCGACATGGAATCTTATAGGTCAAACCAAAAAAATATTTGATTTAATATTTTCGTGCCATTTCTATCAGTTAATGCAATCATCATATTGATAACATTCAATGATATTGGACTGATGGTGGATATAAGTTTAATTATAAGAAACTGGGGAATCAAAGAAGGTTTCTCATTTGTTGAAATTGTTTGATTCTATAACAGAAAGTATTTACATCAAATTGGCAATTTATGCCATACAAATTTGTTCTATCTGGTTAGTATAATTGCCTCTATTTATGATCTGCTCAAGCTAGAAAGGACATCATTGAATTTATCTTCTCTGCATGGAATTGTCAAACCACCCATTGGATGATTAAAGCCAAACTCCTCTTCAGCTTTAGTAAGCAAATCTTGAAATGAAGGCTCATTCAGATAGGACACTGGAACTACAAATCGCTTCTTCTCTCTTTCGCCAATGTAGACAGCTAAGAAACCTTTCGGTACATCTAAAGATCTTGAAGCTGGTTTATTTGCATTCCATACAGATCGTTGTAGAATTTTTTTGGCTAGAGCAGCAGCCGGATGTCTAGTCATGGTGTTACTGTTGATGTATTTTTCCAGAAAAGAACTGAAGAGAGTTTGTCACTTAAGGAAAAAATATCAGTGGAGAATGTGATGACTTGGTTGAGACACCAGTACGTATCTAGGTATATATAGAAGAAATAGTATGAATAAATTAAAAAAAAATAAAAATCCTTCAGCATTTGGAGTGGTTTTTAAAAATAAAAATCCTTCAGCATTTGGAGTGGCTAGAAATCATTTGCTAGGTTCTGCTTAGGACATCTCATGAGGGATCATGTGACCTTGCCTTCTAATTAATCAACAACAGTAGCGTAGTGAGGATTCATCTCTCTCCTATTATGTCTACACGTCTAAACACCAGAATGCCCTACGACCACATAGATAAGCCTGATTGAGGTCCAGGCTAAAGATTGTAAATTGGATGGTAGGACATGAAATGTTGACACAACGCAAAACTGACTTTTGGAATAGGGACATATGCTTGAGAGACATGTTCAGGACATTCAATGAATGAATGATATGTGTAGAAATAAAGATTATAGACGAGCCGCAGGCAAGCAAGATACAGCCTACACGGAGAAGGAAAACTCATTAAATGAATAGGATGAGTTTCTATTGGTTGAATATAACGTGGGAGACAGTGAAAAAAGCAATGGTTGTGACTTGTCATGTACTAACAAGGAGTCCACAGCTTGTCTGATAATCGAAGGGTAAATTGATTTACCAAACTTCAACCAATTGTATCCAGCATATACCTAATCCGAGATCACTAGGTTTTGCATCTCTGTCAGCATTAAATACCCTTTCCGGTCCCAGTTTAGTTTTTGTGGAGGTCATCTTGCTTCCCAACAATACGACGGAACGATATTGACGGTATGAATCACTATCGGTCCCTATATTTCTTGACCAGTTGGAAGACCAGACCATGTGATGCTCTTAAGCTATATCATGAGCAGATCCCAGCAAATGATTGCTGTGCATTCACCATATTATTTACAGAATTTTGTACAAATGTTTTCCTCTATATGTACCAGCACATTTTATCACAACAGCTCAAGCATTCGCATTGTATATTGATATCAATTCCCTAGCTCTTACATAGTTACGTTTCTTCAGAAAAAAAATATCTCAGCAAGAAGAGCATGGGTGTTCGCTTGCCTACTGTTACCGCTAAACGAGTTCCTCGACAATCTACAGCTTCCACATCATTGGATGTTCCAAAAGGTTCCTTGACGGTTTATGTTGGAGAGTCCAAGAAGAAGCGATTTGTTGTTCCCATATCCTACTTGAACCAGCCTTTGTTTCAAGATTTACCAAGTAGAGCAGAAGAAGAGTTCGGTTTTGACCATTCAATGGGTGGTTTGATCTTTTTATAGAATAATTTAAATTATATATTGGGGCTATTTAACAGCTTAAATTATAGCCCTTTTATTCATGAGTGTTTTTTATTTTGGTCCTTAATTTTAGATTTTTTTAATTAAGTTTTTAATTAACTATCAAATTTCAATATTTATGTAATTAAACCCCTGATTTGATCAAATTAACTCTTAAAAATTATAATTTGACTCCAGAAATTTAATGTTTTTCAATTAAAGCCCAAATTGACTTCAAATAAATTTTTCTTGCAATCAAACCCTGCATAAATTCAATTAAACCTTCAATAACATTTAATTGAGTTTATAAACATCTGATTTTGGATTTTTCTTCCTCAAATTGAATTTTCTTTGTCAATTAGGCTCTCATTAGCCAACGATATATTATCAAATTTCAATCCTTGTATTTTTAAACTTTCTTAACCAATTTTAGTCATTTTCTAGACACTTTGGCATCCTTTTTTTACTGTTATTATTTTTTTTAGTTTTTTTAAATATATATATATATATATATTTTGTATTTTCCTCTTTTTTATGCGTGGACCTAAAAATAAGTTACAACAATATAAAAAGGGATATGTGATAGAGGCACACCAAATTGCCTATACCACACATCCTAGTTCTGACAAGATGTGGACTTGAGAGGGTGTTGCGGTGGAATAACATGGAGAAAGACATTACAGAGTTTGTATCCCGATGCTTGACTTGTTAAAGGATTAAGGGTAAGTATTAGAAGCCACCGAGGATTTTGCAGTCATTATAGATTCCTACATGGAAATAAGAGAGGATCACTATCAATTTGATGTTAGGATTACCACAAAGTTAGGAGGGTTATAGTTAGGAGGGTTATGATTCAACTTGAATGATAATTGATCATTTGACTAAGTCAGCTCATTTCTTTCTAGTAAAGATAACACATGGGTTTAAAAAGCTAGCAAAAATATATGTCAATGAGATTATGAGGTTATATGATGTGTTGATCTCCATTGTGTCTAACACAGGTCTATAGTTCACTTCTTAATTTTGGGTGAACTTTCATTAAGCAATAGGGATTAAGGTTAAGTTGAGCATTGCTTTTTATCATGAGACCAATGAATAGTCTGATATGACTATACACATTTTTTAAGATATGCTAAAAGCTTGTGTGGTTGATTTTGAGGTCAGATGGAGCAAATATTTGTCTGTGGTAAACTTTACGTATGATAATAGTTATCATGTGAGTATTGATATGACTTTATATGAGGCTATGTATGGTCAAAAGTCTAGATCACTTAGATATTGGTATAAGATTGGTGAGAAGAGATTGATATATCTTGAGTTAATACAAATTACTTCGAATAAGATCAAGGTAATCTAAGATAAGCTTTGAATAACTTAGAGTATGCAAATTACATGGGTTGGAGGAGGTATAATGTAGATATTTCAGTAGATGACAATGTGTTCCTAAAAGGCTCTTCCAACTAAAAGAACATTTAGATTTTGGAATAAAGAAAAATTAATTCCTCAATTTATAGGGCCCTTTGAGATTTTGAAAATAGTAGGGGTAATGGCATATATGCCTTTTCTCTCTCCTAATTTGTCCTTCATACACCCGGTGTTCCATGTTTCGATGTTGAGAGAGTAATTGCAAGATCCATCTCATGTTCCAGAAGTTCAACTGGTTTAGGTGAGGAAGGATATGTCATATAAAGTAAAATCAATAGGAGTAATGGATCAACACGTTAGAAAGCTTTGGTTGAAGGAAATTGCATCATTTAAGGTTGCGTGAAACGAAATTCCATGCAAAGAGGCAGCGTGGGAGCTTGAGTAGGAAATGAGTGGCAAGTATTAGTACTTGTTCGATCATGATAGGAAGACTTTTATCCTTAAAGTTTAAATTCAAGGATGAGTTTTGTACAACAGAGGGAATGTTGTAAAACCCATGTTTTAGCCCATTAGATTTAAATTCAAGAACCCAAACTAAGTTATATATTTAAAGAGATTTTTGTTTCTAGAGAATTGGTTTTCCCTTCTTTTTTTCCCTCCCTTACGATAACTTTTCTCCCAAATATACCAAAGAATTCAACTCTATCTAAACTTAAAAGTTTTGGTTTTAAAAAGGATTTGAAGAAACAAGTATCATGACTCCTTTTTCCGTTGTTTTTGAATGTTGATTAAACATCGTATCTCTAGTAGCTCTTGAATGAGTGAATAAGCAATATATGGATAATAGCTAGAGGTTAAAGACAGTCTGAATCGATTCATAAGAAACATGTTCAAGGGTGATTTTGATAGTTTGTGGGATATGTTGACTTTGTAATTTGATGATTTAAGATGTTTAATTAATATTTTAAGGTCTTAATTTGGCTTAAAGCGAACTGATTTGAGGATTGGAGCTATGGGTTTTTAAGGAACACATTGAGTTTTAAGGATTCGTAATTTTGAATTAAGACTAACAAATCAGGATTTTGAAATCCTAATCAAATAGTCAACTTGTTTGTTTGAACTGATTAACCGATTGGCCTGATGATATCAGTTGAGTGGTTGATCAATATTGGTTGACCGCTTGACAAATTTAAGGACTAGAGCTATATGTTTTTTAGGAACACATTGAGTTTTAAGGATTTGTGATTTTGAATTAAGACTAACAAATCAGGATTTTTAAATCCTAATCAACTAGTCAAACTGTTTGTTTGAACTGATTAACCAATTGGCCTAATGATATCAATTGAGCAATTGATCAATTTTGGTTGACCGGTTGACCAAGTAGCGGGAGTTAATTGGTTCTTTTAGATTTGGTTAGTTTGGGAAATGTTTGTAATTTATTAGGTGGATCTATTTTGGGTTTATAATTACATTTTGGTCTATAATCTTATAATTATAATCTTTTATGTTATCTGCTTCAGGTTGTTTTAAGTATTTTCTGTATTTGTTATAGGTTTTGTTGACATTATCCCTAGCAATCTTTAGTAATCTCTAGTTTTACATTTGTTTGTTTCTTGCTTCTGTTTTTTAGGTGAGTAAGATAATTGTTAATATACATGTAACATAAATAATTTATATATGTTGATTATATGATAAATACAAATGACATTCTTGAATATTTATATAAGTTGATTTATTTTCCAGGTACAAATTTGAATTCAAATTTTATTGATTTAATTCTATTTGGTATATTATTCGTTTGCTTTGATATATATATATATATATATATATATATATATATATGCAAATATTTATTATATCTAGATATTAGGATACTTGTCAGAAATTTTATACTATTGGAAAGTAGTTAGTTTATATACACTTAGTATTTTGAATTCCTAGTTGGTGAGAGAGAAACTAGACTATTATGATTAATCGTCCCATGGTTATTGAGATCGCAAACCTTTTCTGTTATATATAAATGTTTAGGTTTTTATACTTCTATTATATCATAATTTATGATTTGTAACTTATAAATATTTATAATGTATATTAAATGATATTTTTTTAAATGATATTTTTTCACCAAATTAGTTAAACTCACCCTTCTATTTTAATATCATTTTTAGTCTCTTAGCTTTTGTTATAAAACTAATTTTTAAATGAGAGTTCCTCCTACTTCATTTATTGGTAGGCATTGTTTGTTTTCACTAGGTTTTTCTTTTTATTTTTTTATTTGATATTTTAAATACTTCACTATTATGTTTTTATTCTATTTTTTATTCTATTTTAATATCATTTTTAGGCTCTTAGCTTTTGTTATAAAACTAATTTTTAAATGAGAGTTCCTCCTACTTCATTTATTGGTAGGCATTGTTTGTTTTCACTAGGTTTTTCTTTTTATTTTTTTTATTTGATATTTTAAATACTTCACTATTATGTTTTTATTCAAGTTTGGATTGTTATTTCAAAGATTAAAATTTATTTAATGTAATAACACTTATTATTATTACTTTTTTTTCTATTTAATGATGAGAAATTTTGATGTTTTTATCTGAAAAGATAACAAGACAGAGAGCGCTTGAATTAGCCATTAGTGCAGTTTTGTCTAGCTAGTAGGCACTGCCGATTCAATCTAAATATATTATGTACTAATATCAAAAAGATTGATGATTGTATATTTTGTGCTTGGCAGTGTTTTCTCTGAACTTATTTTCTTTTTTTCTTCGGTGATCATCTTTGAAGCAGTAAATTTAATTTCTTGATATATAGTAAGCTTAGCCATGAAATCGTGGAAACTAAATGAATAAACAAATCGAAGAGGATGAAAAGATTTGTGAAAATTTAAAAGATTTCATAATAAATAATCTCTTGAGACACTGCTTACAATCTGTACATGATATGTAAAGTATGCTACAAAATTGTTTTCCCTAATATATGTTAATCTGTCCTTTTTATGACGCATTTAAGCGAGAAGTGAGATCGATGAAGATGTCTTCCCGACAAGGAATTGTGAGACCACCCATTTGATGATCAAATCCATATTCCTCTTCAGCTTTACTTAGCAGCTCTTGAAATGAAGGCTGGTTCAAGTGTGATACTGGAATCACAAATCTTTTCTTCTCTTCTTCTCCAACATATACTGCAATATAGCCTTTTCGAACATTCCTAGCTGGAGATGATCCTCGAAGAAGATTTTGCTTAGCTTGAAGAATACGAGGCAAGCGAATAGCAATCATTTTGTTTGGATGTAAATGTAAGAACAAGAAAAAGATTGTTAGGATTTTAGTAAAGAACAGAAAAATCTGATTTTTGATGAGAATGTGAAGGCTTGAGATGGATTGACAAGGTAACTGTGTGCTGTATATATAGAGGAAAGATCACAAAAACAAAAGAAGAGCACCATTGTGGATAATGGATCTACTGGTATGGTCATTTGGCTGGGGTCTAATGAGAGACATGAAGTAGTGAAGGATCACATGGTATTGTCTCAAAAGCAAGACTGATAACATAGTGTCCCCAGCATTTTTTGAGAAAAACAATCTACTCAGGACCCACTTGAAATTCAAGGAGTTAGCTATTATGAAGTCTATCTTAAGTTGCCACTTGAATACTGCCGACAACCTTGAGACATCTACCCTCTTGAATTAGAGTTGTACGATATAGAAGGATCATTTCTGTGGAAGTCCTCTTAAGAGTTCAGGGCATGCTTCAGACGTTAAGTTCTTTTTTTTTTTGTTGAAATGATGGGTAGAGGTCTTATCGACCACATTTGTCTTCTAAATTATAAAGCTTTTCTAAATCAGCAGTATGAACATGGATTATCAGCATTTATTGCTCTAGCAATATATTCGAACATGTATCAACACGAAAAGTAAAAGGTACAAACTTTCTAGACAAAACCATGTGAAGTGCATATGATGTGCGTGGCACTGGTTCACCCTTGATGCAACTGCAAACGACGAAGTTAATGTCGGTAATTGTTTCCAGCCATTCAATTTGAAATGTGGGTGCCACCGGGAACAGAAAAAGAGCATCAATGCTATCCTCTGGAAGATTTCAACCTATGAGGCCAAATATGTTGCGAGGCCTTTTATTTATTCACTTTGGTAAAGCAAAATCTCCATTTAGTTTATTCATTTCTTGAACAGTGTGAAAAGAAAAATCAACCAAGGTGAAAAAAACATATAGTGAAAGAAGGAATGAAAAGGGCGAGGCGTGCATGCTCAGCTGAAAAAAATAAATAAAAGAAGAATACTCATTTGCAACCTTATAGTTGAATAGACCATAATTGCAGTATTTTATATGCTGGAAAAACAGCAGTTTGGCAGCTGACGTTTTAGCTAAGCTTGCAGGGTATTCACAACGAAGTGGTTCCAATGGAATTTCCTGATATCTACTTTCTTTTCTTGTAATCATAGAACACAATGACTTACTGTGCATAACAGATAAGGTGAAATCAATTTCATTTGATGATTTTGGCCACTGAAATCAGTCAATTAAATTATTACTGGGATATCTGTTGATTTTAAAACTGCGCAACTAAATATTTCCCAGCAAAGAGGCTTTTTGGAACTAATTTCCATCATTTCAGCTACTGAACACAGGTGTATATATATAGAGCTAGAAATACTAGAAGTTTCATGGAGATACACTTCACCTAAACTCACCTAATACATACATCCTACCCCTCAACTTATGTCAGTAAACAACCCATATTTTCTGCAGTAAATCTCTGCAACAAAATCTCAGCAGCTTATACACAATACAGAGGAACAACATTTTTGAAGTGTCTAGCAACAGTGTCGTTGCGTCAACTATATCATAATAATGATACTGTATTGAAAAATTCAGGTTCAATAAAAAGGAGGAAACTACACTCTAAAAGGAATGGTCCAACCGCCCATTGGATGATCAAAAACCAAACTCCTCTTCAGCTTTACTTAGCATAGCTTGAGATGAAAGCTTGCTCGGATAGGACACTGAGACTAAAATTGCTTTGCCCTCGAAAAAGTCCTTGGAGCAATAAATTTCTTGATGTTGAGTTTTGGCCGCGACAGTGTACCAAAACAAATATAACAACAAATCCTGTTTTATCTATGCATATAATTAATATCTATGAAAACTTCAGTAATTTGCTTATGTAATGTGACCAAATTGAGAGAATAAATTCTGTACATGCTGGTAATTTATGCTACAAAATTGTTTCTTCTAATCTATTTAATCCATCCCTTATGTCTTAACTCATTTATGGATTATTCTTCAAATTCATCTTTTTTCTTTTCAACATTAAAAAAATAAAAAACTAAAATAAAGATTGATATTTTGGAAAAACAAAGCTGGGAGGATTTCACATATAAAAAAAATCAAACTGCAATTTTGGATAGAATTAGGAGCCTAATTGTACTTCATTTTACCCAAACAAAGTTGGGAGGATTTCACATATAGAAAAAATCAAGCTGCAATTTTGGATAGAATTAGGAGTCTAATTGTACTTCATTTTACCCAAAACTAGAAAGATAGTATAAATTCAAATTTAAGTTATATAATTATTGGATGAATCTGCATAAAAATTAAGCTTAGAAACGTAATTAGATTTGTAATAGACCAATTTGATTTAATCATGAGTCAAATTAAAGCTTCATTATTTTTAAGGATTTTTTTGGGTCCAATTAAAAGATTTAATTAAGTGCAAGTACTTAATTATATTTTAAATATGTCAAATTAATTTTATTAGAGGTTTAATTGGTGAAAAATTAAGTTTGAGGTCCAATTTGAGCTTAATTGAGAAGATTATAATTCTAGAAAACCAAATTTAATTTTTCCAGGTTAAATGATTCAAATCAGGAATAAAATTTTAAAAAATTAAAATTTTAGAATTAATTAATAGTTAAATCGAAGAAATTCGCAATAAACAATTATTTTATAAAAAAATTCAAAAAGTTTAAAAAAAAGTCCAAATATAAATCGAAAAGAATATTAAGATACTTTAATTACATCGAGATGATGAATATTTAGCTAAGATTTTCAAATAACCTGAATTGGTCATTGGTAAAAAGTCCAAAACTCTGAATGAGATTAAGATATTTAACTGAAAATTTTCAGGACTGGAAGTTGATGTTTAAGCACATCATGTGCCTTGGCAACGATCATCATAGCACATGATCGTTTTTAAGTAATTAGCCTAAACATCTTTTCTATAAGAATTGTAACAGCTGGAGGAACAGAGATTTACAGCTACTCGTAAATTTTCCTTGCTTGGTTTTGAACTATACAGGGATGGACGCAAGTTTTTGATTTTTAACATTATACAAGCAAAAAAGAACTTGACCTGGGCCTTTGTCTATGATGAACTGATGCTGACACCATAAAAGATGCTCACTTAGTTGTTAAAGTGTGATCGGAATATATTGTTCATTTGTTTTCCTTTGAGGACAACGTCTACAGCAACATGAAAGACTGCTAAAATCCATTTTCAGATGAAGAATTTTCATTTGTGGTGCTGGAGGAACACAATTCGAGTAATGATCATGGCGTAGCGCATTTAACATAAGTAAGAACTCACAAGCGAAGTTTCTATGAGGAGAAAGTATATAATATATGAGAAAAAGTACTCATTAATTAATGCTTGTGCTTTCTAAATTGAAATACAATTTGACAAAACAGCAATAATGCTGTGAAGCATGTTCATTTCCTTGAAGAAAAAAGGTATCCGAGAAAAGGTCTGTACATGGTACTCATTAGTGTCTTCTTTACAGAACTGTGTTAGAGTTGATCTATCTTACTCTCTGCTTTTATGATTAACTTAAGCAAGAAATGACATCCATGAAAATCTCTTCTCTGCATGGAAAAGTGAGACCGCCCATTGGATGATCATAGCCGAATTTTTCTTCAGCTTGACTTAGCAAGTCTTGAAATATAGCTTGGTTCAAGTATGATACTGGAATTACAAATCTCTTCTTTTGTGTTTCTCCAACGTAAACTGCCAGGCAGCCCTTTGGCACACTTGAAGCTGATGGTGATAGCTGAAGCATTTGCTTAGCACGTACAATAGCAGACAAACGGAAACCCATTATTTCAAATGGATGAGCAAGGAAAAGAAATCTAAGCAGACTTATTGCACAAAGGAATTTTGATTCTCAAGGATGTGAAGGTTTGAGTTGCTTGTGAACCTAAACATGTTGGTATTTATATATGTGAAGATTTAGAAGATAGAAATCCCCTTACGCAAGAAGCCGGTCGTCAAGAGGCCCTTGGATGTGGTCTCGTCAAGAAATTAGCTCGAGCCATCACATGTGGTTGTCTTCAACCTAATTATCAAGAATAGAGGCCTGACTGACCATTATTAATTTCTATGAAACATTATGACCCCACTGCTCTATTAACTATAAAGTTGTAGTTAAATTTGAAGTTATTTAAAGAGGATAACACTACTTATCCAAATCACAATAGACTGATATTTTCTTTTCTTTTTTGTCATATCAGAGACCTGCTTAAGTCATCTGCTATTTCTTTTATAATATTCAGACAACATGTCCACTGAATTTCTTCTATTCATATTATCACATGTTTATCAAATTCAAAGATGTGAGATAAGCCTGTCCAAAAAAATAAAAAAATTGAAGTAAAATTTCGTGGAAATTTGCTGCATCCTCAATTCAAAGTCTATACAAACAAGTCAGGTTTCCTGCAATAAGTGATATAGAACCAGAAAGTGATAGCTAAGAACCTTTTCTACAGGTAAAATAAAATTCATCGATAGCAGAACTTGTGTAGCTAGCAACTTACAACCACATCATATCTGACACACTAATTTTCATATCAATGAATAGACTTGCTGGACCGGACACCATGAAGTTCACATGTCCTCGCCCTACTGCCAGCAATGATGAATAGCCACCTCAATAAATCATCGTACGGAGATGCTTTTCCTTTGAGGAGCGATCACCAACAACAGTCTCTATATATGATAGATGAGTGATCATTTTCAAGAGGTTTCCTTTTACTGTTGTGCCAAATGTGATCACTAACGTCCCATAGGATTGCCTAGAACTAACAGTCAGCCAAGACTGGCTTCGTGGTCATAATTGTATGAGTGTCAATTTGTGATCATCGAAAGATTTGAAGATAAAGTTCTGCAGTATTTCTCTTTTCATGTACAAACAATTTGTGTGCGAAGCTGAAATGAATTCGAGCTCAAATGCTTAACAGAACATAAGCAAGTCTGATTTATTTTTAACCGAGTACAAAAAGGTACATGAAGATAAAGGAAATATGAAATTTGAGACTCCGTTCATTACATTTGACATGTTAATTCTACAATAAGAAAAGACCCATTACATTTCACTTTTCTTCGTTTTATGTTAATTGAAGTCGTCAACTTTCCGGACTAGATTTTTCCTACTGAAGTCTCCATCACCACTTGCTTTGCACGACTAATGTACGAAGCAGTCT